TATTGAACCAAAGACAGAGAGGGGCAGCTATTAGCATCAGAAGTAAGCAGCAATTACATCATTCATATTACAAATTGTCTTACAAACGCAATTATTATTGTGCAAAAGGTTTTCTTTACTTTTGAAATAAACTGATGAACTTGATATAGATGTCCCTTCCCTTCTCTAAAAAGCCATCATACAGTTCCTTAAAAACAATTGTAGATGTAAGATAGTGACAGGGTGCGATCTGAAAGACACAGAGAGAGGGTGCTGGATGAGTGAGGAGGAAGAGGAGGAGGGGTCGGAAATCCACTGAGCGGAGAGCAGGAGCGAGGGAGTTGGAAGGGAAAACTAGGCCACGTGGAAAAATCCAGCTATAATGATCCAATACAGAATCTGGCCCATAGCATGTCTGCCTCTCTGCTCCCTCCACATCTCTTCATCTCTTTTACTCTGTGATCACATATTTCTCTTTTCTCTGCTTTATTGGTCTCTACTTTCATCTCCTCCTCTCCTGAGACTCTCCATTTGTAGCTCCCTTTCTCCCTCTCATGTCCTCCAGACAGTGTCCGAGATCACTCAGTCTACGGCCATTTGCAGAACACATGTCCACAGCATCTGAACGTGACCATTGTGAGGTCTAATTTGACCTCTAATTGGGTCACATTAGAGGAGAAGCGTGGCATTGCTCACATGACACAGGAGGCTGGCATATTTAAAGAACGTAAATAGGATGCGTGAGGTGGTGAGATAAGCACAGGCGCTCCTTTGTGAGTCCACAGCGTGTGGCCAATCGGAGAGTCGGGTACAAACACGCACACAGATGTGGAGAGACAGGAAGGGGTCGTTCTGACACTTCCTGTCTCCCATGGAAATGCAGCACGTCAGCAAACACTCAGCTCCAAACCCTTCCTGATGATCGGAGCACTTCCTGTCTCCCTTTTGAGGTCACTATAGAGTCTTTGTAATATATCAATCTTACTGTACATCGACTTTTAGTAAAAAAAAGTATTATTATGCACATAAGATAATGTCCTATTATAGCTTATTTTGAAAAAATGTCTGTTCCTCAAGCAAAATTCCATTAGACACAAAGGGTAGGTTGTTAAAATGTGCTTTTTGCATGTATCAGTGAAAATAGCTTATTGAATTTGTATAGGAGAGTTTCCAACAATTGCCACATTTTTGAATATCAAGTTATTGATCTCAGTCACAATACTGAGCCCAGATGCAGGTTAATCATTGAAAATATGTATAAGGAGTGTTCTTCAAAACCTTTGAATACAGCACTAGGATGCAAACGCCAATTTGAACCATTTTATAGACAAATCAAGAAACAGAGAACATTTCTAACGTGCTGTTTTAGTTATAAGGAAGGCACCAGTCCTTTGCAGCTCCAGTGAAGAAGGTGAAGCCAGAGGTTTTCTTTGTGTAATATAACTTGTGTGAATGCTTACTACTATCTTGAGAGCCAAATGGAAATGGTCTGTCAGCATGTGCTATAAGAGCACCTGAGAGTGTGCATGATTTACATTAAGAGGGTGTGTGTGAGACTTTCAAACAGCACAGTAAAACGTTAATCCCGATGGGCAGAAAAAGCCACAGAGTTTCTGTCCTTTGCTTCACAACCACATACCAGCAGAGGCTCAACACACACATATGCAAACACACACTGACAGGGCAGGAGGAGGAGCGAGCTGATTGGCTGTAGAGCGATGAGTTAGAGGTGTTGAGTTTACATTGAGAGAATACTGCTATGCCATCTTCGGCCAAAGACACACACACACCTATGTTACCCAAGACGTGTAACCATACTAAGAAATACTGGCAAACTGGATTGAAATTGAATACGATTTTGACTTATTTAAATGACACACACACACACACACACACACAATAAATATCTCGGTGTCAGAGCTCAGCAGCTTACTGGCAGCTGCTCTGCTCCACTAAAAGGTGCTAAAAGGCTTTTCAAAAATGACTAATGTAGACTACCAATCGACTTTAGCACTTTCCTTTCCTAAAAGCCTCAAATATGTCAGCACCAGAAGCAACAAGTGTCCTAAACTGACATGCTCAAGTCACACAACTTCAAAAAAGAAAAACACCAAAGTCCCCTTCATCAGCCAGAGGAATTTCAAAAAAGGGCATCAAAGCAGATCTCTACATCACATGTTAAACAGGGTCAGCTAACTTCTTGTCTAGGCTTCGACTGAACCGCATTAGTCCAGACCACCATGCCCTTTTTTCAAAGTGAACGAAAATGAACACCCCTTAGAAATAGTCCACTGCCAGCAGCGGAAGGAGGCTGAAGGAGCGATGAACATGAAGGAAGAGAGAGGAGGATAGTTTTTGTTCTCATACCATCTCTGTCTATAACAGTGGGGCTGCGGGTGTTGAAGGGCGGTCTTCGCTCCAGGTCTCCGTGATCCTGTCGCTGCTTCTCTTCCTGGTGCGCTGAATCGTGTACTGCTTTGATCTGGTGCTGCAACATGGCAAAGCCACTCATTGGCACACCACCGGGGCCATAAGAACCAGGCATCTACACAAGTTTAGGAAGAAAATATCCAAATAAGGTGGAATTCAAGATAAGAATAAGTGAGATATTGTCACGTTGGCAGTTTGCATGAGCACTGATGCATTGTATAGAGGCCGCTGAACAAACTTAAGAACTACTTTCACCACGCATCTTGAAACTTCTGCTTTAAGACAATTTAAATGTTATACTTGTATTAAATCTTGGTAGGTAGAAATATAAAGGCTGACACTGTAAGCAAACCCCAATACTAACATGATTTATGTATCAGGGGTAGCTTTAATAGAGTCAAATTCAAGGTACGTAAACCAAAAATGGCCATGCTCTTAGTGCTTTTATCATTAAATCCAAATTGTTACTATATTGCAATTCGGAAAAATTGTGAAAATGTTTACAAAACTCCTGCTTGGGAGTCACCAGAAGACAAAAAGCGACAGGTTTTTAAACATTTCAAACAGTATAAGATTTGTGGTTTCCTTGATTGTGTAGATTAAACTATATTATGCAAAAAACTTGTGTATATTCAAATTCCAGCATATTACTAACCTCGAACACATAACTGTTAAAATTGAGCAATTTATTTTTCATTTTTATGAATTTGTATAAAAAACCTTTCATAATAACTTACACATGAAATGTGGGCATGCTCTAACCTGTGCCCGTGAAAATGGATAAACCAGAAACTGTGACTCACCATAGGTGGGATGGCAGCTGCCCTCTTCTGCATCTGCTGGATGTTGAGTTGGGCTTGCTTGGGTGAAGACACCAGCACCGAGCCCTGAGGGTTGAGCATCGAAGGCTTTTCCATGGAGAACATTCTGCAGAGGCACAAAGCAAAATCTATAATGTAACAAAACATTTCCCTTTCTTATAAACGGCAATTATGTACACAGAACATGAAAACACACCTCTGTCTCTCAGGCTCTGCTTCCACATCCTCGTCAGCACTGCAGGTGGCGCTGGAGTCATTATCTGAGTGGAGCTCCCTGTGCCTCTCGCTGTGATCTCCTTTCTCTCCTCTCTCCTTCATCTCAGGCTCCATCTTCACCTGAACCTCTCCGGAGTTCATGTCCGTGTCCTGAGGTTCGGTTTTGGGGTGCACCGAGCCTCCGTATGGACCCATCCTGGCCTTCTCCTCCTGAGATCCGCTCTCGCTCTCGGGGCTTTTCTCCTCCTTTACACAGAGTCCGCCGTATAAAGGCTCCAGGCCCTTTCCATTACTGGCTTGACCTTTGTCCTGATCAGAGCAGTGAGCATCTCCTGCAGCGCCGTCTGCCCTCTTCGAGTCTCCAGACTGAGAGGGGGAGGGAGCGCTCTCTGTATCGGAGCTGTTGTCACCGCCTGAGGAAGCATGATAGAGAGAAGCATGAGACTCAATCAAACTCACAAGACTTGCAAGTCAACTGGATGCTCTTTAGGAATAAAGAACAAGCCAAATGAATTAAATGTAAAAATAAATTGCCTTTCACAACGCAAATATACCCAATAAAGAATAACCCAAGAGATATGAAACACATCACACAGGCGATCTAATAATCTAAACATGTGCTTTTTTTATCCTTCTCATTATGTATTTATCTATATAGTCACATTTTACTTGGACACATGTAAAGTTAGCTTTGTATCTAATCTATGACCTAATTTTGTTAATTTAATGACCTCGCTTTATACCACTTAAATTTGCTTGTGCTAAATCCAAGGCTTCAATGATACAGAAAACCAGACTTTCAAAATAATCAGAAAAAATTAACAACAATACATCTAGTAATATGGTATGCTTCAGTTTAAATATCTTAAACTGTTAAGACATTACAATAGTCGTAATTAGAACACACTGCTTTTGTAGAATGAGAACAATGATAAATTAATATCAGAAAGTCATATTTTCTTAAGCATATTCAAAAAAGTCTGCCTGCTTCTGTTACATATTGTCTATCGCTGCAGTTGTTGCCATGGTGATGGTAGACCAGATGGTATGTCTATGAAAAAATAGATGCATTATTTACAGAGGAGGATAAAGTACTGAGGGTCTAAGGACAGAGGGTGTCGTATTGTCATACTGATATTCTGTACAAACTGTGAAGTCCACTGAGACAAATGTAACATTTGTGATATTGGACTATATAAATAAACTTTGATGGATGATTGATTGATTGAGTACTGTACTTGAGTAAAAGTAAAAATGCTATGGTCTTATAATACTTACTAATGCACAATGGCCCCTTTAAGTAACATAAAGTGTAGAAGTACTATGATTCAAATGTACTTAAAGTATAAAAAGTGAATGTACCCATTATGCAGAATGGCTCATTCAAAGTATTGTATTATTAAAGATTTTCTAATATCCTGTTTTATCACATGTACACACCATTTTAATCTTGTAGTTTGTCAATGTGGAGACAATTTTAGAGACTTTATAAAATATTCCATTGATAAGTATATATATATATACACTATAGTGAAGTAAAAAGTAGAATATTGCCTCTGAAACGAGTGCAATAGAAGTATAAAGTAGCATACAATGGAAATACTCAAGTAAAGTGTAAGTATGTCAAAATAATATTAAAGTATGGTATTTTAGTTAATATACTAAGTTACATTCCACCAATGATTATGAATATCAAACTAAAATCAGAGTACGACTAAACATCCTAATAAAAAAAGTCTACAATGAGCTTTACTCATTCCTCTAGCTCTATGTGCGCCAACTCACTGCGGTTTATAATGTGAGATCCACAGAATGCACATCACTGAGACCTCTAAAGTTCAGTTTGGGTTTCCATGGGAGGAAGACAAAGTCAAATAAACATGACAGAAAACCTTGTGACCTCCCGCTGTTGCTATCTTGTGAGATGGAGGCTGTTTAAGTTACATACGAGTCTGCTGAGCCTCACAAAAAGGACATGCTGTTAAAATAACATGTCGATTTAAAGAATTGTAATATACATTTGGTCGAATCATAATCGCTTTCTATATCTAGCACACTATCTCAAAGTTTATCATAGTGTGCCCCCTTCACACGGCAAAGATAAGGACCTCTGGAGATCCAGGCAGGATCAAACAAATGGACCGGCACTTTGTGTTCAAAGAGCATGCTTTGTTGAGTCTTCAAAGCCAAGAATTGTTATGCAACAGGCGCCCATGCACTCCGAATTAGTCCATATATTTTATCTCCACCTCTTGCTTTCCCCCCCATTTGATCCTTTTTTCCCTTCTCTCATTAAAACTACAGTCAGCAGAGAGCAAGCACCATCACCATCAAGCGAATGACATGACGATTCAAAGGGCATTTTAGATCAGGCTTTCCAGCTTTGCACTGTACTTATCGCGACATTCCTTCTCTCCACGCCCTCTTTACTTAACACTTGGTAATCTGAGGCGCAAATCTCCACAACTCATAAGCAAGGACAAACATTTGATACAGTAACATATCAGCCTGCAGTATATCCTTCAGCGAGGGAGCCCCTGAGAAGAAAAGCCCAGAGGGAATCGTGTGTATCCGTTTGTTTAATGTCGAGTATATGCTTCTCTGACCTTCACTGTCATCGGCGTTATCGTCGTCATCCTCATCATCAGGTGACGCATTAGCGAGACCTTCACCTTGAGACCTATCGGCACGTGCCCGCCGTGTATCCTATGAAACAGATAATTTTGAATAAATCAGTACTGTTGCAACCACTCAGCGATTAGCCATAACAGAAAGCAACAATAGCCTACCTGCTTATGCTGCTGGAGCAGGTTGTCCAGGTTGTGACGTCTCTTGTAGTTGAAATAGAAGTTCTTGCACTGTGCCTCGCTTTTGGTGCCCACCATTTTGGCGATGGCGGTCCAGTTTCGCCCGTGCTCAACTAGACCTGGGTGCAGACAAAGAGACGATTTAACAAGAGGACTTAATGCTATATTAGACTTAAAATATCCAATGTTTACAGATATACTTTATATTTATATATATATATATATATTGTTTTACTTTGTCATAATATTATTGTATTTCCTTAAATGCATATTTATTATATATTTATATAAAATACCATTTCAACTGCACCTGGGCCAATAAATCTAACACAAAAAAAGTTGTGATATTTAGAATAGTTTGGCTTATTTTAAGTACTTGTACTTGCAAGATTCTTGCCATTTGAATTTGTTTCCCCATGGTTGTTTGCACTTATTGTTAGTCGCTTTGGTTGCTATAATTCAAAATGACACTTGTCTGTTGCTATGGTGTGATTTTGGTCTTCTATTAACACTGTCAATCAGCTAAACTTTGAAACTGCTCTGCCAGGCTGCCATTTACCTTTGACATTAGTGCTTCTCTTCTCTAAATCCTGTAACCTCTGTGACCTCCACTCCCTCCCCAGGCCTACTGAGATGAGGGATGCTGGCAGATTGACAAATCACCACGGAGCGAAACACAAAGCCTATTACTGCTCCGGTAAAATACGGGAATGGGGGCATTTGGACTGTTCAGAGTCAATACTCTTATTTAGAGTTACTTAAACTTGCACACAACACAGATATGCAAGACAGAAATATACTTAGTGATGGCACATAATGAAAAGTCAAAACAAATAAGATATCTTTTATTACCTTTTTAGTTTTTAACACTTTAGCAATTAAATCTAAGCTGCATAAAATTCTCTTGCAAAAAAGGCTCCCAAATGCTCCCAATTGATTCATACCATACTGAACACACACAACAAGAAACTAGTCCTGCAAGTTATGGGACCTTGACGCTCCCTGTTATTTGACTCAAGATAAACTTGGTTGCTTAACCAACCTTGAAAGTTACATTGGTCACAATGACAGATTAATTATCAAGTGAAATCATTTAACTTCATTAATTCTGCCAGATCTGAAAAGATGGCTGATTTTTTTTATTCCTGGTATTCAGGAATAAACATAATGTCAGTATTATAGCATAACCATGGCAACAACCTACCTATTCATGTTGCTAAAACATCCTTGACAAAGTCCTTAAGAGGAAATGTTATCATCTTTATTTTCAATTATCGTAACTTTTGTGACGCTTATAATGTTTAATTTCTGTTTTAGTTAATTCATTCATTTTTACTGTCATATTTAAGGGAACCGTTATTGGCTCTTTAGTTTTATATTTATTATAAGTGTAAGGTAAATTATTTTGTCCAAAAATATAAATGGAGCAGGTGCCCTAAAATCTTCTACTTCTGCTCCAACAACATCTGCTTGTAACATGGAATATGATGATAATGGATCTGACTAGCATGTTGATGAAAAAATAAATGTTCCTTTTTTCTGTTCACATTTCTGATTTATCCGCTAGTCCTCAGATGTGATCATCTTTTAAAAAGTTTAATGCAGATCAGCAGGTGACAGAAATGTCATAAATGGTAACATTGTTAATGCTCTTGCACGACCAGCGATGTGGCGGGGCAGGATAAGAGTGATTTTGGAACAAGCTTTGTCATATGACTAGAGGAGGTCTCTCTCTTTAGGCCACATTAATCCTAAATCAGACACATCTAGCACTCAGGTCGTAATGCCTGAGGAGATCACAGCAGAAATATCGGGAAAACAAATCTCCAAGAGAGTCCTAATAAATCCACATTAATCCTTTTATTTACTCCGCCAGTCTATGGGTTCTTGGCTTTATACATAACAGCATAACAACAAAGCCGACCTAAATGGGGGAGCAAAGGGTCTTGAATGGCATATGACCTGACTAATGACTGCAGCAGTGCAGTGTGACACAAGGCACAGAGTGCAACAAACATTTTGAAGAATTTACAAGACCAAAGTAACTTTTCAAGAGGCCTTGACAAAGTCTTTGGATGTGAATAATAGATAGTGGTGTTTGGAGCAGGCTGTAACTGTCACGCTCTATTGCTTTATGGAGGGCTTTAATAGATAAGGTTGAAGGAACCGGCAAAAGAGTGGAGCTAAAAGAGAAATCCCTAAAACTCTTCATGGGGGTCTGACAGATTCCAGCAAAGCACCAGCACCAGTTTCTTTTAGTGTGAAGTTCATGTAAGGCGAAGCCACATCAGATAATCGGAAAAAGGAAAACAAAAAGACTGAGAGGAAGAGGGGGGAGGGAGGAAAGATCACAAAAAGAAGAGGAGCAACACAGAGACAAATAAGGACGACTGAGAGGTAAAGCGGGAGAAAAATAAAATGAAACACAACCTTTTTTGGCGACCTCCATCTCCTCCTCGGTCCAGCGAGAAGTTTCTCCGGTTTCACCTGCACCAGCTAAACCACAGAGAGAGAAAAAAGATAAAACCCCATCAGCACTGACAGAAATACAGAGAGATAGAGAGACTAGAAGGGAGGGAGGGGGGAAACAGACAGAGAGAGAGTGACAGTCCTTCTCTCAGCCGTCTCCTTCTCATGGCCACTAATCTAATAATCTGTTTACATTCAAGGGCTGCCGAGACCCCGCTCCCTCTCCTACCGTCTCTCTTTCTTCCCTATCTCTCTCTGTCTCTGTCTCTCCCCTTCCCCACACCCCCGAGCAAGCCCTCCTCTTCTCAAATCCATGAGGGGGAGGGGCCTGGTCAGCTGATGTAGCGCCAGACGGTGGAGGAGCTGGGCCTGGGCTCCCTCTTAGGGAAATGGCCTTGGATGGAGACAAATAGAAAGAAAGAACAGCCAGCCCAGAGCCCTCCCACCCCTCTACTGTGACCATGCTCATCATGGACACACACACACTCCACCTTCTAGCCTCGGCTTGGCAACACAGCTTCAAACCCCCCTACAAAATTCATAGAAGTGCAGAGTAAGTGTGGAGGGGGCTGAATGAACTTTAGCCCACTCTCCTCGGTGGCATCTACCAATACTGTGTAAACATTTGGACTAATATAGCAGCAGATGTACCCTTGACATCAACAGGAGGCTTGAATGCCCCCCCCCTCACCCTAAAAGACGAGGAGATCATTTCACACTGTTTAGACGGCTCCTACTAAAGGTCCCCTGGCCACACAGTCTGTCACATTTAGTTAAACAAATGTCTACTGCACTAGACTTCCTTTTCCCCGAGGCAAAACTCACATGTTCTCCCCGTGACATGCCCCTCAAGGGTGGTCATTAATCTCGTGGCTATGAAAACAGACAGCCTAGAGTGTAGTATCTCACCGAATAAGACACACCCCACTTCCCCCCACTAGTTTTAAAAAGATCAAACTCCCACCATTTGCCCGCACTGAATCAGCAGCTTCCTGAACTCGCATGTAGGGCTGTCCCGAATACCATAATTTGGGCTCCGGATATTCGGTAGTAATCAGCAGCGAATATTCGAGCTTATCTTACATTGATATTGGAGTTTTCAATAAATTAAATTTGGCAGCCGTAGTGCAGTGCGGCTGCCAAAAAAAAACAATATCTGAATAACGAAATTGAAACCTGAATAGTACTCCAACGAACGAATATTCGGGTACAGCCCTACTCGCATGGCATCATTTCAACAGAGTAACTCTGAGAGATAGCTACCCTTTAGCACCTAGCCCACTTACTTCTAAGAAGCAGCATATATCACAAGGGTTACTACAGGGCAGGCAAACAGACACGCAAAATCCACAATGTAGTCCCTCAGGGATATTACAGTTCTGCATAAACCATGATATGTCCAGAGTATCAGGGCCAGAAAGGTCAAACGGTGGAGAGGATTGAAGGACACACCGCAGAGTTAATCACATTATTAGGACAGACCTTGCGTAACTCTTAACTGTTGAGAGGTCAATGGACAGCAAGCAGGTGGCAGAGAAGCAAAGCACACTTACAGAGCATTAATCAACGATGCAGATTAACGCAACAATAAGCTTAACACACAGGGGTTTGGATACGTGAAAATATGAGCTAGCATCGCCTTTGTGACAGAATTGAACAAGGGTGGAAGAGCCCCAGAGCCATGACAACAGAGCAGCAAATTGCCATGGTGATGGACATACAGTGTCTTGAGTGCAGTGCAGGACAGAGTCTGTATGGCACTTTGCAATGAGTGCCTGAAAACCGCTGTACACTTTTAGGCTATTATCAGCTTATCAATGTAAACATTATAAGAGGGACAAAACAAGCAGAGCATTATCCTGACATATCATTAAACCTTGTATAAGATCTATCCATGGCTTGTTGCTATTCGATGTAAACATAACACAATAAGCTAAGACTATTAACTTATGTTCTACTACCATACCATCCAGTGACAGCAAGAGTCCTGCATAGGGCACTGGTAAAAAACAATTTCATATAAATCCCGGGGGAAACTACATTTGGTCAGGCAGGAAGTGAGGATTCTGCAATTGAAATGATTGTGCAGTATTTTAACATCAGCAGCTAATAGTATCAGCATTAATCAGCTGCCAGGGTTTTTTTTTGTTGTTACGTTGTGAAAGCCTGGCACTGATTGCGCGGAATGGGCTTGCCTGGCATAGAGTACAGCCAAGAGACTTCCCTTCGGTTGGATTTGTGATTTTAGAACGGAGAACTTAAACCAGGGTAAACAATCCCAAAAAAAGGAGGTTGTACTGAAGCAGACACATTCTTTTATTTACATACTTTGTGATGAAATGTTGGTTTTATTTCTTTCCTCTTGAATCTGTGGCACTAATGTGTCAATTTGTTGAAAAATAAAAACATTTTCAACTACCTCCAGAGAGCATCTCCAAGAGGATTTACCTTTGTTAGCATCCATGGAAGCTACTGGAGTCTGGGGTTTTGCAGGCTCCTTCAGTGACTTCTGCATTGGATCCGGCTTGGGGAGCAGCGGAGGATCTGGCAAGGCAGGCTCGGGGGCGGGGGGAGGTACCTCCTCAGCCGCCACAGATGCAGCCTCATTGGCCATGGAGCGTGTGGTGATCCTTCCCTTACGGCGGCCCTGGCTGTTGGCAGTCTTCCTGCCACGCGGCGTGTTTTGCTCCTTTCCGTCCTCGTCCTCCCCACCGTCACACTTGTCTTTGTCCTTGCCAATGTCCCTGTGGTTTTTGGAAGGGGGGGAAACACAGCTTAGGAGACTGTTGGTACAGCAAATATTTGTTCCGTTTTGACCCAGCAATTACAGGCCCTTAATGTAATCTGTTCTCCATGACTGAAAATACAAAAAAAGCTTATTTGAAATGTCTACCCTCGAGCCAGACGGACTTGTTAACAAGTTAGCAAGTTGTCTCGTGTTTTAGCAATGTGCCAAAACACACACACACTACTGTCCCCTGAACCACTCATGAACATGCATCATTTTATCAAGGGTTTTTTGATGGGAGATCTTACTTACTTATTGCACTGTCTCTGATGTTTATTCAAAATTTGATGAGACGGTAAAACATTTTGCATCCTGTTTATCACATGATTATAACTCAATAATCAAATTGAATTTTAGGATATGATAAAATTCACCTCCAGCGCCATTAATACTGAATGTGAAGCAGACTTTGTGCTTTTCATGTCAACAGGTTACAGGAAGTATTGCTTCATAAGCAGCACACAGTACAGTCTTGTCGCTTGTTTGAAGGGTTGAAAAATATTGTTGATATACACAAACTGAAACCTAGATTTACCAAACCTTTAGGAAAGCTATATTGAAATGGATCAACTCCATACAACTTGTTTGACTGTAAGAGGTGCCTTCGGCGGGAAAAGAAGGGAATGCACAATGTAATAGAAATGTCGTTGCCAAATAAGTTCTGGCGTTATTACAAATTAAATTCACAAGACTGTGTAGCTTTTTTTCCATGTTGACATCCTGGATATTCCCATAACATTATGCAACAAAGCATTCATTTGCATTGACTTCTTCATTTTTCTTTAGTTGTTCTACTGTGTCTAGCGGGGATTTAAGCCCTTAAAGAGGCCATGTTATGCTAGTGCTCCAACACATTGTATGCTTGCAGGCCCAATGGACTACATTTACTTTTATGACAAACAATCATTCAAGACTCACCTAGAATCCTCCTTTTCATCTTTCTCTTCCTCGTCCTTCTTTTCCTCGTCCTCTTTTTTCTCGGATTTCTCAGATTTTTCCTCTTCGTTTTTCTCGTCTGACTTTTCTTCTTGTGAGGGACGCGTTATTTGCTGGAGACAAAGGCCAAAAGAAATATGTAAGTGGCTTTCTTCTTGAATAAAACAAAAGCTATTAGAAAAAAAGGTCAACATGTAGAATGCAAAGGAGATAATACTTTTCAGTCCTCCTGATATCAATGCTTCCATTTAGATATCATCAGATCTATCTTCCGCCCGTATGATACTATCGCACTGTGAGATCCCAACCTTATTTTTTGCCCTTCTGACTCATTAAACACTTCCTGGACCAGTACTCCCACACACTATCAAGAAACAGACATCTTCAGATGGTAAAACAGAGCCTGCATTGGCCTTGTGAGCCCTAAGGACCATATGCAATTGTAAAACATAAGATATGGCCTTACAAGTCTACTTAAATATTCATTTTGACCGCAAATGGACCAGCTCCGGTAAATGGCAGATTTGTACTTTAGCATCTGGTAATTAGACTTTCAAGCTGCAAATGTTGCTCAAAATGAATAGAATTTTCATTTTTTTAGTGAAATAAATAGTTCTACACTAGAAAAGCCTAGTCGTAGATTCTGTAAAGATACGTTTAAAGCCATGGCACATTTTGATATAATCACAAAAACTATTTGACATCAAAACAAATATTCCAGATACTCTTTGCTGATCTGCTTAATTTAAAAAGAGTGGAGTAAGGCCAGTTCTTATGGCTTATGTCTCAATCAATCTGTCAAAGAGAGAAAAGGGCTTGATCACGACACTCATCATGATTGATATATCACGCTGCAACAGATGCAAAAAAAAAATATTCTCACACAGATCTGTATTTTAATGTAAAAACAGGTTGGAGGTTGAGTCCAGATAAAAACTGCCATGAGAGTCAACATCTTTCAAAAGCGGAATTTTTAAAACTGATCTGACAGAGATTAAGGACAGGGCAGCATTCTTTATCATCACTGTTGGCACGGTAACCACCGAAAGCTTCCTCCTGCCTCTTCCATGATAGGCTGTGCTGGAACAAGTCTGGCTATGCCAAGCCAAACATCCCATGCTGGTACCAGATGGGGCCAAGGAATGTGCTCCACTCAATGGTAAAGGCAAAAGATACAAGCTGAGGCAGAAAGGAAAGGCAGTGGGACAACAAAACAAAAAAAGGGTTGTGGCCGTAGCTCTTCACACGAGGAGTCTACAGGCCAGATCTTACAGTAAAATCTGATAAAGAGAGGCTTGCCTCTTCACAAACGCGGGAAGTAAGTGACCGCCATGGTGGTTTGAATTAGTGGCTGCTTTAGCCAGCTCTAGCCCAAGACAGCTAATAATCAGAGGGATTTGGCCTTCTTGGAGTGAAGCTACATGAACAGCAAAATCCAATCTACAGCATGGGAAAGAAAACTGCATGTGGTGCTATTTATTTTTTGTCTGATCCTTTTTAATTTAGTCTGAGTTAGTGTCAAATGTCCTTACTAGTTTTATATTACAAGTTAACTTCATTTTGTCCATCGAGTCAAGATGAATGAAAGTAATTTTTCTCCAATGCACTGTTGTTGTTAACTTAGCTAAGATAGTAAACTAGTTACTGCAAGTCCTCCTGACTGAGCTCACCGTGTGCACTGAAGGAAACGAGAGTTCTGCATTGGGAAAAATTATTTAGTCTTTTCATATTTGTCAAAAATAAATACATCGAGATTTTGGTTAAGCTTTCAATTAAAGGTGGGGTAGGTAAGTTTGAGAAACCGGCTCGAGATACACTTTTTGTCATATTCCATGGAATGCTCTTAACATCCCGATAGCAATGAATATCTAAAGTGCTTTGACAAAAAAATTAATTAAAAAAAGTCATCTGTGGAAGCCGTAGTGCCGGCTAAAATGATTGGATGGCCTACCTGCCTGTCAGCCTTCCATCTGTGCACAAACTTATCTCGTGCCCTCATTGGTCATGTGCGCGTTTGTGTGTGTTGGAGGAGGGGCTCTGTAAGGAAGTGGCAGATTTTTTCCGGCTGTGTATTTTCAAATTCTAGCGCACTCGAGCTGGTTTCTCAGAAATTACTTACCCCACCTTTAAAAAAATACATTTCAGTATTGTCTTTTTTGTNNNGACGGATTGAGACAGCGTGGTATCAAGAGCTGCAGGACTTCAGGAGAAACCTACTGTGGTGATGACGTCCTGTCTGTTGTTTGGAGAGGACTGAGGGTCTTTCATCAGCCGAGGAGGTCCCAGGCCTGATGAAAGAGCCCATGCTGGCAATAGCGATACCAGCCCTGCACAGGCCTAGTCCTGTCCACGTTTATTGACTATTGTTACTTATGAGCATGTAATAGGCTTTACACCTTCGTCCATATGGGCTTTTTATTTAAAACATTTTGATTAATTTTGTTCACCATTCATAAATTAATTTGTATTTTGCAGCTCCTTTCGTCCATTATTCTTACTGGAAAATGTTAGATTACACATTCACATCTAATTGAAGAGCATTGGCCCATTTATTTGTGAGTTCAAACTCGCGGTACAAGGCACATGTGTTGGTGAAGCTCATAAAGTGATGGAAAATAGAAAATAATCAGCTGAGGAGGTGAGCATGTTGAAATAGATGCCATCCAATCAGCTGACTTATGTTCTTAGCCACACTTTATAAGCCTACTATAAACCACCCTTCTCTGAGGTGCAGGCAGCGTCACAAACAGATGATGGTCCTGATAGAGACTACAAAAATATTTCGGTGTGCAGATCTTTGTTTTCACAATAAAGAGTAGTTTTCCTTAGTGCAACTTTTTTTATTTCCTTCCTGTGACTTCAAATTTGGTTCACAGTTAGCGTGGAATATTTAATACAAGTGTACATTTGTTCAGCCAGTTACGGGAATTTCTATAACAGTGTAATGGGGAGCAGCACAAGACAACACATACAAGTTTTACACGCTCTCGCATTTTGCAACCATACTACCTTCCCCATAAACCAAAAGCCGTATTCCCGTTTTTGTTTCTGAATCAAGAGACTGATAACGAGAAACACCCAGGTGACAAATGTCCAGTGCGAGATGTGAACAGACACGTAGCCCAACTTTCACCTGCACCCAGCACCAAGCGGGAAAAACGATCATACAGTTCGGCCCCTTAAAACAGTTCACAACAGTAATGGAACAGTTGAGCATTATTTGTCCCAACTAGTCCTAGCATTAATGAAATTGATGTTGTCCTAAACTGCTAAGCAAGCCGACAGTTGAGTTTGAACAGAAAGACATGCAGACCATAAACAGCTTATAGATGGCCAAAGAGAAATGTGTGGTAAGGCTTACATGAACTTGAATGAAAACACTGTCCATTATTATTAATACAAACCAAGACATTGAAGTAAAAGTTTTAGGCATTTTTCATTTGTAGCACGCTGTAAATAGTGACTAATGAATGTAACACGCAGTGGGAAACCACACAAATAAGGTTTATACCCCCCCTCCCTCCAATACTCATAACAAGTATCAGACCCACAATGAACTGTTTTTACCTGAGCAGTGAAGATCGAACATGAACCATGAGTTAGCTGTATGAGTACTGAAGACAAAATCAGCTATATTGGCATTTAACCTCTCTCACCTCCCTAACTCTCCTCTCCCCAAAATTGGCCCCCATTGTTGGGCACCAACAAAAGTGTTCACCGCTCAGGTTCAAAGTGATGCTAATTTTAACCCAATACAGGAGCATTTGGGGTGGAGGGGCTTGACAAATTGAGTGTGGTAATTTCAGTGCGGCAGGGTTTAAGCAAACCCCCAACACACCAGGCTGGTCGGTTTTGAATAAACGTGTCTAATCGTAATACAGAGTGTAGTTATTTGGTCAATCCAGTGTCCAGCCTTGTCGCTGTGGACAACACATTTGCTTGCGATACCTACAAGATTTACCTGGACAACATTCAGAGCGATGTAAACAGAAATTTCGACCTATTCACGGCTGCACCCCAGCAAAGCAAGCGGGAGAAAAATGTATCAAGTTGTATCTAGAAGTTACGTCTACAATTAGGAGGGTGAGTAATTAAGCTTTTTATTGCGTACACGTTAAACTTATTGTTTTTCCTTGCAAACATTGACTTACATTGAAAGACAGAGGAGGGAAGTATGTGCAGTTCTTAATGAAACCATACTTTGTATTTTTACGTGTCAGGGTGTTATGCTTACAGGTCCATGAAGACAGGCCCACAGGAAGTTCAGGGAATGGAGGTTAACTGTCTAGTTATCCGTCTGGTTAAACATGTTCCTGGGGAAATTGTTCGGGCTCCATTTCCCAGAAACAGTTAGACGCAGCCAAATAGTGAAAACATAAAACTTTAATATAACTAACACAAGTATCCGTCTACTGCCCCAGAAAATTGATGACTGGGTCCCTGTGTGTGCTGCACAGAGGTACAGTTTGTTTGTTCCTGTTCATGTGGTTAAAGAGTTATTCTTCGTTCATTGTATAGAAAGTAAATCAATTCATATCAGTGGTAACTATCGACAGTGCAGCCGTGCACCGCACCGGGCGCCCAGACCGGCCCAGCGGGTCCCATGCAAAAAAATCTTACCCTAACCATTTGTGGGGCCCCAAATGGCATGACCGGTTCACTGGCAATCTTTTTCAAAGTAACCCCAAGCAACCAAAATCAATTTGTAATTGTGTCTGTCCAATGACCTTTCATGTCATGTGATAACTTGCGGACAAAGCGAACCGTTTAATCAACCCTTACTGTACTGTACAGCGAGCAAGTTCACGCAGCATTAACAAAAGTGTAATAGCTTTCATTTATTAATGTACACGCAAACCAAAGCACAAGAGCTGAAAACATTTCCGGTTAAGAATTGGCTTGTGGCTAACATTTGTTGCTAAAGAAATGTAGCAGTTTATTTTTGAGAAAAGCTTATTAAAGCGTCTCACCATTGTCAACAGTGACGTCACTTCCGTTTACTTAACAATGATTACAGCCGTTAAAATGCATTAAATAAAAATTCATGAAGTGATGAGAAGAAAAGGCTGTGAGTTACTACAGAAGACACAACGCCTAAATCCCTCTGATTTAC